CTTCATAAACTATTTAAGGAGTATGAATCAGAGTTCTAAAACACACATTTTCGAAATCCACTTTCTCTTTTTCTCTCAGTCCGGTCTGCTACAATTTCACAGAATGTTTCTTCGGAGATTCTTCAACTTTGTTGATTGCAGATTCTTGCCTAAGACTCTATTGTATCATGGGAACGGATTTGCCTGTAACCCAACAATAAATTCAATGAAACTAAGTGAGGGACAAATAACATTCTAAAAACAGTATCTAAAACGTGCCTTAAAGCTTCTCCTCCAAAGTTTCAGTGACCCTATTTCACAACACCAATCCCATTTGCATTTTTTCTCATTTAATTTTGTTTTCCTTTTTCTTTTAGTTGTGCTGGCCAGTAGCCACACGCACATGGCTGCTCTTTTGGTCTACTCTTCTGATTTGAATGATGAATTTCTGCCTTAAAATTCTAGAATGGTTGTATTTTTATACGAGTATTTACGACACTTCTGTCTCTCTTGGCTTGGCTCTTGCCATGCATGTGCGTGAAAGGATGAAAACGGAGCTTAATCGCTTCACTTGTTTGAGCTCGAGTGTCAGCATAGAGGCATTTGGTTAAATTAAGTTGGTTGTTCAGCGTTCTAATTAGATATGGCAAAAAGTTGATCCAACCCGCAAATCCAACCCGACGTGAAAAAGCAGGGTCAGGGCCCCATATTTAGCTATCCGAGTGTAAAAGACCCGACCCGAAAAAAAAAACTAGGTTGGGTTGGGTCATGGGTCAACCCGCTGACCCGAATGTCAAGTTTAATTGGGATTATTTATGCATTGTTAGAAGTTTTCACTAGTTTGTTTTTTCTATTTAGTCTTTACTTTTTATTGTTTACTCTTTAAATTATTAAATGCTTAAGTTTTTTATTTTATATTTGGAATTTCAAAGTTAATTCTTTTAATTTTGATATTTTTTCATGTAATTTTTCAAACTTCAAATATATTTTGAAATGACCCAAATTAATCTATGGATCAACCCTAACCCGAACATTTAGGATTAGAGTCTAACATCTGATAACCCAACCCAAAATCAACCTAAAATACTTTAATCCAACCCAATTCCTAGGTCTAATTCTAATGCATTTTTTCCAGTTTCCACCGACTTCAAGCGTAAACGTAAATTTCAATTCTATGATGTTCTGGGGCGTGGAAATTGAAATGGAGCAGGACCAGGTCGGATCCATATTTACATTTCTGCCTCTGGTTCTGGTATAGTGTTCCTTGAGTTAGGACCCATATGCATAACATTTCTCCTATTCAGAACTAAGAAACCATACTGGCACAGTATAGTCATAAAGATTAAACAAGGGATTTTCCAGCTGAACTGTCCGGTAAGCCTCCAGCAATGACCTAAGAAAATTTAGGCAAAGTCTATTATGCACCCACTACACCATGCTGTCATGCAGCCAAAGACTTAGGTTAGGGCCGTCCAATTCAGACTCCCAAATGGGCATTTAAGAGAGTTGCTTGACGTGTTAAGACCACGTAGGCCCGTCCAAGTTACGGACAATGTTTTCAAAACTGACCTGAGTCACAGATCACCGGTTAGACTGTCCCGTTCGAATGAATCTACCCGTGATGTTATATACTTACATATAGCCAAAAAAAAAATCTGAAATTTACGATATTTATAGTCAAAAAATACATAAATGCAATCATAAAAAGTACAAACTATCTAACATCCACCATTCACTAATCAAAACATAAGATTTAAGAGGTTCAGGTTTAATGAAAATAAAAAATATATCATTTTAAAAATAGAAATTATCAATAATCATAATATTCATAACAGAAATTATCATTTATCCATATGTAAACAATTGCCTTTTTCCAATTGGTGGTAAAGAAAAAAAATATTAACATTCATAACTGATTAACTGGATTTCAGAAATAAGAGAATTAGATGTAAATAAAAATAAAAAAAAAAGACAAATTGCAGCTGTTTAAAAAATTAGAAAATATATTAAAAATTTAGAATGAATGCCTGAATTGTCATTCCAGAAAAGTTTACCCAAAAACCGAAAACAAAAATGAAAGTTCTAATTACAGAGTTTCAGATGTCTGAATTGTTTGATATTATGATTTCTAGAAAGTTAGAAATTAAAAAGAAAACAAACTAAAATAAAAAACGGCCGATGTTAATGGGGAAAACTCAAAAAAAGATGTGAAAAATTACAGTCGCCAGCATTAATAATTGGACTGGAGCCACCGACATTAAATCTCTGTTCTAAATTTAATTGTGCAATAAGCAATAAAATGAAAGTGGGGTCGTGCTTAAGCTGGGAATTTGGGATACGATGGTTATTTTCAAAATCATTCGAAATTCAAACCGTCATCCACCAGCTGGATTAACGATTTTTTTTTTTTTTGCAAAACAATGGGTTTTGATGAAACCGGACCCGAAAATGAGACTGGATGATGGAAGTTGGGTTAGAGGAAAAATTTTGAAAACATTGGTTATAGGACAAATTTAATTATAAGGAAGTTTTGTTGATCAAGTTGCGGGCTTGCAAACTATGCATCAAAGGCACTGAGAGATGAGGCCGGATATGGTCACAAGTGTTCCAACTTGATTTGTATTCACATATTGTAAATATGGTGGGTTCCTAATACATAGTGAGACGTGATTCTAGGGTCGATGTGAGGTGTGCTCTATGAGGAAAAAATCTCATTTCTCATGGTGAAATGTGAAAATTTGTTAAAATTAGGCATGTTTATGGTTCTGTTAACTGAATTGTGAGTTTATTTTTGAAATTGAACCAGTATTTTCAGTTTATGAAAAACTGGTAACTGAAACTAAATTGAAGTCGATTGATTGACCGGTTGACCGGTTTGGTTAATCAGCAGTTTGATTTGTTGGTTTTTGCAATATTTTAAAAAATATATAATGAAAAACTAAAAATATATATAAAACATTATATTTTAAATAATAAATAATATATTATAAATATATATTTTTATATACATAGTGCATATTTATTAATTTATAATATATAAAAAATATATAATATACATAAATATATTTAAAATATATAGAATATATGTATACCAGTCGGTTCGGTTAACCACTTGTTTTTTATATTGGTTAATCGAAACCAAACCAGTAAGGGTGGATTCGATCCAAGCCGAGCCGAATAGCTAGCTATTCGAGCTCGGTTCAAGCTAGAACCTTGAGCTCGAGCTCGGCTCAATTCGAGCTCAACTTGAGAAAATCTTTTATAATATATATATATATATATTTATTCGATATTTAAAAAATTAAGATTTATAATAATTAGTTATTATTATATATAAAAACAAATATATATATATATAATATTTTCTATAATTTTACATTATTATTATTATTATTATTATACCTATGTATGTATGTAGTTATTCGAGCCGGCTCGTGAGCCTCACGAGCCGAACTTAATTAGGCTCGAGCTCGGCTCGACTAATAAATGAACTTATAAATTGGGGTCGAGCTCGGCTTGAAGCTCGGTTGAAATCGAGCTAAACCGAGCTTTTCACGAGCCAAATTCGACTCGTGGCCACCCCTACAAACCAGTATCTTTGGGTTTTTAAAAATACTAAACCAAAATCGAATCGACCAATCTGATTAATCATATTTTGGGTTCAATTTTAGTTGATTTTTCAGTTTGGTTCAATTTTTAGGTTTTTCTTGCTCACCCGAGTGTTGGGACAGTTTTTATTGTGAGCACATCCCTACTGAGAGATGATACATTAAAAAAAAAAAAAAATGATTTGGATGCTGAACCGCTTATGCGTTGTCAGTTGGGTTGGTGGAGGGATTGAGACGACAAGAAAAGGAGTTGGCTAGCTATAAAAAAGGGCGGCGTGGGGTGGGGGGTTAGCGGGTTAGCTTTGTAATGAATCACCTTTTTATTATTATTTTATAAATTTTTTTGTTGGATAGGTTTGTAATGAGATGAATTGGAAAATGGAATCTCATCATCAATTATACTTTTAAACATTATTATGACATTATAAGATGAGTTGGGTTGGCGACTTGGCGTGAGGCGTGAGGTGTGACGGTGACACCTATCCAGTATCCAACCATCCATAACCATATTCCTCCATGCCCATACCATTAGTATTAGGTCCCTTGGGCTTTTACCATTTTTTAAAATTAAGGGTATGCCTTCCTTAATTACCTTTTTATGTGGTCATGTGGACGTGGCCCCCTTGCCTTAACCTAATCTTAACCCTAACCCTAACCCTAACCCTAACCAACCACTTGCGCATCCAGCTGGTTTCGCCATCCAATATTTTCTCTCTCTAAACTCTCCCCTCAAGTTTGGCATTAACTAAGAAATAATACTCTACATCTACATGAAATGTGAGATGAGATTAACATTGTCGTGGTCATCCCTTTAACAAACCCGGGCTCTTGAGCGTGCCAGGTCAACCCGGTAGAAGGCTAGAAGAAGCTTTCAGCTTTCTGCGACCACCCTTGTGGCGTTGCATAATTCTACTCTCGTAACGCCCACAACTAGTGACTCACTCCCATTCATCACATCCACCTCTTTAGTTTTCTACTCTTTCCATCAACCTTAGAAAACCAAACGGGGCGGCTCAATGCCTCATGCCTGATCGCCTGATGATTGATTCATCACAACCTTACATCAACTATATATTAGTCCCTTTTGAGTTTTGAAATAATAATAATAATAATAATTTGAAATAATAATAATAATAATAATAGCCGATCGAGCATGAGAAACAACTAGAAAATTTCGATCGAATCATATATACAAATAAATAGAAAAAATGATGGAACAAGTCTCACCAACAGCTCATGCATAAAAAACAAAAGAAAGAAAAAGAAAAATAAATAAAAAATAAAACAACAACAGCTCCTCAACAACTCCATTTGCTTAATGCGTTACGGTTCCATTATAAACAAAATAAAGAGAAAGAACAATAATGCAGTAAAATATATTATATTATAAAAATATGAAAGAAAAAACACTCAACCATGTGTAGCTGCTGGCCGCCGGCTGCTGTCAAAGAAAGATGTATGGGGAAGAAGGGTTGTATTGAATTGATCCAACGGTCAGAGCCCAATATAACGCTCGCCGGCTCGCGCACGAAAGCGTTGACAAGGAAATATTAATTTTGACTAAATATTAAGGTTGAACTATAGACCCACTGCACATTTTTCCAAACTTGAATAAAAACGGAATGCGGCGGATGATGCTCTTTATCATCATCATCATCATCATCATCATCATCATCTTCTTCTTCATCATTATCATCTATTCAATTCTTTACTCATCTCCTAATTCCAAAATCACACAAGCTCTCCTATCATCTGCCGACCTCCCGGTTCCATTAATACCCCAAGGAAAAATCCATTTCCCTGTTTTTAGTTTTCATTTCTCTCTTTTTATCATTAGAAAGACAAGGAATCTTGCTCTCCCCCTCTCTTTCTCTCGGTCTGAAAACTGTATTGCTTCCTAATTTTTTCATGGCAATTTCTCCTCAGCATTTCCCACCGAGGAAACGACGACCATCCGCCGGGTCTTTCATTTCTCCAAATGTTTCCGACCGCAAACTGGTTCAATCGCTGCTGCTTCTCTCTCAAGAGATCTCTGACCTCAAACCTCTCCAGTTTCTTCTCAGCCGTGCTTCGTCTTCCATCATCCGAAAGTCCAAACTCCTTGCTGTTTTATTCGAGGAGATTCTACGCACTTCCATCACTTTTCTTCCTCAAACCGCCGTTCTGTGCTTCCAAGAGATTTACATCGTCTTGCAGAGAATCAAGACATTGATAGAAGATTGCTCCAATGGGAGCAAGATGTGGCTTCTCATGCAGAACGAATCTGTCGCTAACAGCTTTCACGAGCTGACGCTGGATTTGTCCACCCTTCTCGATATATTTCCTGTTAAGGACTTCGATTTGAGCCATGATGTCAAGGAGATTGTCCTTCTCGTCAGAAAGCAGTGCCGAGGGGAGATAGAAGCTTTTATCGATCCCGGGAACAAGAGTCTTAGACATGATGTATTGAAGCTATTAGATCAGATTAAGCAAGAAATCGTTCCTGATCAGTCAAAGCTGGCACACATCTTTGACAAATTGGGTTTGCGTGATTCCATCAGCTGCAGAGACGAGATCGAGAGTCTCCAAGACGAGGTTCGTAATCAGAACTGCGAGAAATCCACAGCGGAGATGGTCGCTTTGATGGGTCTCGTTCGCTACGGGAAGTGCGTTCTCTTCGGAGCATCGACGCCGACTTCCGACGGTAAACATGATTCTCTGGTGACAGATACCATTTTTCCTGCCGATTTCCGGTGTCCTATCAGCCTCGAATTGATGCGAGATCCAGTCGTCGTGGCCACGGGACATACCTACGATCGAGCCTCCATCGGCCTCTGGATCGATTCAGGGCACAAGACGTGTCCAAAGACAGGTCAAACCTTGTCCCACACGAACATGATACCCAACCTGGCATTGAAGAACCTGATACTGCTATGGTGCCGCGAGCAGAAAATTCCGATTGAAGCCGAAGACTCCAACTCCAAATCCAAAGTCAACAGCGTGATAGTTAACAAAGCAGCTTTAGAGGCAACGAAGATGACCGCTACATTCCTCGTCAACAAACTATCGTCTTCTCCGTCAACAGAGGCGGCCAATCGCATTGTTCACGAGCTCCGAGTACTTGCCAAAACGGACTCGGATAGCCGAGCATGCATCGCCGAGGCCGGGGCCATTACATCGCTAGTAAGGTACCTAGGTTCGGAGGACCCAAACTTGCAGGTTAACGCCGTTACGACGATTCTCAATCTTTCCATCCTGGACGCCAATAAAACCAGGATAATGGAAACAAACGGCGTGTTGGACGGCGTTATCGGGGTGTTGAGATCAGGTGTCATGTGGGAGGCAAGGGGTAATGCAGCGGCCACGATTTTCAGCTTAACAGCCGTGCACGACTATAGAAAGAAGCTGGGGAGGAAGACGCGCATCATAAAAGGATTGATAGAGCTGGCTAAGGCGGGGCCCTCCAGTTCAAAGAGAGATGCTTTAGCGGCAATTTTGAATTTGGCGGGAGAGAGGGAGGTCGTTAAAAGGTTAGTTGAAGGAGGGATAGTGGAGACGGTAGTGGAGGTCGTGGATGAATTACCGGAGGAGGCGGTGACAATTCTAGCAGCAATAGCCAAGAGGGGCGGAGCGCTGGCCGTTGCATCGGCTAACCAGGCCGTTAGAAAGATTGCGTTGGTGTTGAGGAATGGTCCGGAGAGAGCGAGAGAGAGTGCTGCCTCAGCACTTGTTTCAGTGTGTCGGAATGGCGGGCAGCAGGTGGTGGCGCTACTCGCGGAAACGCGAGGGATTGAAAGGGCAATATGGGAACTGATGGGTGGCGCTGGCGGAACAGCTAGAGCAAAACAGAAAGCAGCCTCACTATTACGGATTCTTCGTCGCTGGTCCGCCGGGGTGGATTATCATCAACATCAACATCATCAAATGCAGGAAGGATTCTCTTCGACTGCCGTTACCAATACCACATCGAGGACTATTCTGCATGTTTGAAACTTTTCTTTATTTCATTGATTTTTATTCTACTAAATTTCTTTAAGTGTATATTAATTTGGAAAGAAAATTCAATCCTGTAATTCACTCTTTTCGGCTATGCTTTGATAATTTGTTGTTTTTCAAATCTTTTGATGACATGAATGCAGTTGGAATAACAATAACTAATGATCATGGTGGAAAGAAATGTTAACAGTAATCCATCAGAGACTATTAGCTACAAGTGATTGATACCCAAAAAAAAAAAAATTAATAAAAAAATCGTTTAGTAACTTGTACAAGCAAATATCATTCCAATATTTAACAATATGATGCTGATATGTGCCTACTAGACTTCTCGTCAATATGACAAGCATCCCAAAATTTTGATCCGCTTTTGGTTTCCTATTTTCCCACGCCTCTTATCGTTTTCTTCTTGTATAATTATAACTTTCATTTGTAATAACATGTAGTAGTAACCTCAAAAAAGTTAAACTAATTTTTTTTTTTTTGAAAATTGTCTAAAATTCACCATAACTTTAACTTTTTCAAAACATCTAGTAACCCCATGTCAGTGACATTGTATTTTCCCAAAACTCAGCAAGTACCGTAAGAACACGCTTGGTGTTAAATCCACGGAAGTTGTCGACATCAGCATAAATATATTTTTTTTGACCAATTGTCAGATGAGTTTGATTTCAACCAAAAGCTTTTTTTTTTTTTTTCTTTTCTTTAATTATTTGAAGCTCTCTTTTTTACTTGAATATGTAAAATGGGTGGAAAATATTTTAGACAGATATTCGAGATATATTTTTGTTGTTTTTTTTTTATCAAAATTTTGCTTCATTTTTCATTTACAACAGAATAAATGGTAAAATAGTAAATTACCAACATCTGTTAGTCTATTTAACGTCAACGTACTGATATGGGATTCCCTGGACATTTCATAGTGAGTTAATGATGAATTTAAGAAAAATGATGAAAAGTCATAGTGAGTTTTAGATAATTTCCCCCCTTTTTTTTTCTCCATAAGATTGTAAATTAATGAATCGGTTTAGATTTAATCTACCTAGATTTGAATATCATCCTATTTAACCCAAAAAATAGGAATTAATTCCATCCTATTAATATTCAAATTCTCAAATCTTTTCAAACAGATTTTGATTAAATTTGGTAATTTGAATATTATATATTTTCTACAAACTACTTTTCTTCTTGATTTGAAGTAGAAACTACTTTTTTTTTTTTCTTCTTGATTTATTTATTTATTGAATGGGATGGGTTGCCTCCTCAACTTCTTTTATTATTTTATCATGTCAGTTCTCAGAAAGATACAAAGGCTAATTTGACGTTTAATATTAATAAGAATCAAAGTGATATTTATTCTTAATTAAAGACTCTTCTGTAATATACTTGCCTTGAATTTAAGATTAATTATCCAAGATTTTTATTATATAACAATAGTGATTTTGTTTATAAAATGTTAAATCCAAGGGGCCCTATACTGCTATTTAATATAACTGAATATTGAATGAAATATATCACTCCAAGATAATAAAACTTGTGGCGTTCTACCATCAAACTTATGGGATAAACAGGCCTTGTATTGCTTTTAGGATAAAACAGCCCCCAGTTTCTCTCAACTGCCGCCGCTGGCTTTCTTGTAGATGAGTTTGTGGTTTTAGAATTGTAAACCCAAGGTTTTAAAAGCACAAAATCCCCCAGTTTTTTAACACTCCATAGAATCTCTTGGTTTTAGATTATTATTCACATGGTTTTTTGTTTTTCAATCATATAACTATATATAAAACATACTGTTCTAATTTGGTTGCAAATTTAAAATAAACTAATCTATAAGCCACAAAAACCTCTCGTTGCCTGATTTAAAATGACATTGTTTGTTTTGAGAGTGGTAGGGCTCTCCATGTTATCAACCATCAAGTAGATTTTTTCAATATATGTATTATGTATTAATGAAAACTATCTTAGTCCAAAACCTCTCTATTTTTGGTTGTGAAACAGTTATTAATTTCTAAATTAACTATAATCAATGTTACAGAATGTAAATTGTGTTTTTTATGTTCAAGAGCAATCACACAAAACCATGAAAGCAATCGCACTCGTTTCTTGGGTAAAAAAGTAGCTAATAGTTATGCAATACCATTGCCATGAATAATAGTTAATTACCTAAATCTTTTGCGAAAAGAAACTTCAGTTGACTGTTTTATCAGAATTCAATTTTGAATCTGATCTGGTTAAGCGTGATTAGAATTTAATTCTTCTATAATTGGTGACCGAATATTGATCCAACCAATATTATCTGATATGATTATGTTTAAATATACTTTTTTCTTTTTTGTAAGAAATAGGCGGATAGCTTGGTCCCAAGAGTCACTTTTACGGATGTTCATTAAGTCCAAAGGAAGTGAGGAAAAACAAAAGGGAAGAGAATCTCATGAAAATAGATCTTGATTCGCTAACCAATCAGCCGCTTGATTTGCTTTTCTATAGGAACAGACGTATGTAATCCCACGAAATTTATAGCAATACAAGCAATGGAGAAGGCTCCATCATTTCTTCTTGAGACATCAAAATTTATCTTAATCATTCATTCTTTTGGCCTTTTCCGTGTAACTGTTTTTCATTTTCTAGGATTATTCACTTTATCATCAAAGGAAGAACCCGAATAAAATTCCCAGAAAGATTGTTGAGCTTTTTTCAATAATAGCCGATGAGGGGGGAGGACCTATTATTAAGCAATTTTTTTTTTTTTTCGTTTCTGTTTTTCCATAAAACCAATGAATAAAGCAATATTTTTCATAAGGCATATATATTCCCCTATATTTGGATTGTTATGTAAATTACACCACCAGTCCAGAACAGAAGATCCATGGGATGTTTAAAATTAGCCACACTTGCAGTGCAAAAGTACACTTTGGAAAAATATGCTCAGTATCCTCAACTTCATTTCAGAAACAACAAGAGCCATTAAGCATTGATTTTGTGCGAAGGCAATTACTTAAGAAAAAGTACCGAAAAGTCTTTAATTTTGGGGGGATCTTAAGGCCCCAAATCTTATTAAGAACGAGATTAAATCCTCCACTACCTCATACCATACAACAGGCCTCCTTACAAGCTGATTTAATGGTAAAATTCCCCTTGGGATCACATCTTTAAATAATGGTGTCATCCCTAGAATCCAAAGGAACAAGAATAGGCCTAATACTGTTCCAAACATACTATAATTTCACTATCAAAATTTGGGGAATCTCTACTCACTAGTTCCTCAATAGTGCTAGGGTTAATCCATTTATCTTTAATTTCCAGAAACGAACTTTCTGACCATTTCCAATGGTCCATCCAACACCTCTATTAAAATGGTTTCTAGCATTAAGAAAACCACTCTAGGCCCAAGAGATTCCTTTTTTAATAGGGATAATCCAAAGATCTTCATTTCTAAGGTATTTATGAGTAACACCTCTTACCCATAAGTTATTTTGATCCTTTGGCTGAGTTTGGAAGGAATACAAATGCAAATATGTAGAGTGTAAAACCTTATATTTTGTATTATTTTGTATGTATTTACACTGTACATATTTGCATTTGTACTCTTTCAAAATTTAACCTTAAGAATTTTCCATTCAAGCTTGGCAAGATAGGCTTCATTCACCTAAGACAGGTTGTTTAGACCAAGCACACCCCAACTTTTGGGTAACATATATTGGGGTTTAGACGTAGTAGGCACATTAGGTAAACATAATGACTGAGCACATAATAACTGTGTGACACATGTCCCAATTAATGCGCTTTTCATTTAAACGTTTTTGCTCCGTTAGACAAAAATTACCAATTATTTTATTATCTTTGTCAAAATAATTAAAAATAAAAACAATGAAAAAGGAAAACCTAAACCAGTTGGGAGTTGGGACTCATTTATGTTTTCCTTTTTTATTGTTTTTATTTTTAATTATTTTGACAAAGATAATAAAATAATGGATAATTTCTGTCTAATGGAACAAAAACGTTTGGATGAAAGGCGCATTAGCTAGGAACTAATAGTGAGATTTAGGAGAGTAAATCTGTGAGCAAATGACGACGTTTTCTTTTTTTAGCCCACCAGTTTATTATTTATTTTGTCCAAACGCTCATTGAAGGCTTTATTGGAAATTCAACCATTTAAAATTGGAGCCCCAATCTAAGATTCAACTTTCTTTTATCCAGGGATCCTCAACATTCTAGATAGAATTTCCAGAAGTCTTGGAGGAATATTCTTTGAAAAGAGCAGAGTCGATTATGTTTGAATTTCGGGTCCATTTGGTTTGTAGTCGGAATCGGAATTGAAATCCTCTAGAATTGGAATCGGAATGGTCCAATCCCATAGTCTGTTTGGTTCAAACAAGAATGAGAATGGAAACTAAAATCAGCAGGAGTGGGATTTTATTCCCAAGGGAGGGGCAGGGAATGGCCATTCCCTAAAATGGGAGAATGCCTTTCTAGCAGGAATGGGATTGAGATTTTGATTCTGCCCAACCAAACAGTTGGAATCAGAATAACTCATTCCGATTCCGATTCCAAACCCCTATTCCTGCGAACCAAATGGGGCCTTATATGTTTATAGAGTGACCCACTAAGGTGTTGGTACCAAAAACGATTAAATTCATATGGGTTTCTGACGGGCTAAAGTTTTTTACTATTTTCACGTTCCATAACTTTTCCAGCACCATAGAAGTTGCCATATTTATTTGTACATGAAAATCATTTTTAGTTATTATATTATTAATATTATTGGCGACATAGCTGAGCTGGCCCAGAGGCCTACGGCCATCTATCACAGCTCGGCCATGTTGGCGATGTCCGGCCGAGCTACGACATTACCATGATCCCGTCGACCATGTCAGCTACGCGCCTCACGGATAAGCTCGCCTAGCGGATAGGGATGGGAAGACAACTCTGCCGAGTAGTAGGACTCTACCCCCTGTAACCTCAGTGGGGAACGCTGTCACGATTTCCCTGGAACCCTATTCCGACCAGGATACGAACCCTCTGACTATAAAAAGGTACTCCATGCTCAAGGTAAAGAACTCCCAATTTCTAGCACCCATTCTACTAATTAGCTGGGACCATCATCCCTGTAGCTCGGCCCGGCCATCCACCCCCTCGTACCGACTTGAGCGTCAGAATACTTACCTGGGGATAACTCCTCGGGCCTCTGACTTCATCCTTGATTACAGGTCTTGAAGTGCGGTCTCGTCCATGAAACTCGGCCCCGACCTGCTAAAAAGGACTATCTGGTTGTCATCCTTGGTTCATACACTACCTCGGATTGAACGACATCAAATATATATATTGAAGCGAAAAAAAAGTATAAAAAAGGGCAAAGCGACATAAAAACTTATCGCGAGTGAGTACAGACGTTAGAAATGAAGGAGGCGACGACCAATTATATGACCTAGACAAAGATAAAAGAGTGTTTGGGCTAGAGAATGAGCAGTTACATTGAGGACAAGAGAACTGGTGCATAATGAAAGGAAAGTGATGAATATGATTATCCTGAATCTCTTCAGCCCACCGCATGTATAGACAATCAGCTAAAGCCAGGGATACAACTCATCCATACCACGTTTTGGTAAAGAGCCAAACCAAACAACTTTTGTGGTTGGAGATTGTAATAGAATAACATTGACCATGATGCCAAAATTCCTTCCAGCTCTTATTCTAGGCAATCCCTTTTATTTAATAAATATTATATATGCAATATATTTTTTTTGTTCTTTTTCTTTTTTTTTTCAAATAATAGTGAGATATTTATTATTTTTTAGTTTTAAATATTTTTAATATAAATCAATCATTTTTTTATTGGATAAAAAAATTTATGTTTTCAAATTTTTGGTCGAGCTCGGGCTTGAACCCAGGTTTCGAGCTTTATATAACGGCTGAGCTCAGGCCTGAATATATTCTTTTGATACATACGAAGTCCGGCCTGAATCCAACCCGGCTCGACCCATGAACAGGTCTGAACATCGATGACGAGTTCGCAAATGTGCCCGGTAGGCGGCTCACATGCATATCTCTACGCGCATTGGGAATATCTCCCATAGTTAGGCATTGGGAGATGATTCCAATAGACGGTTGGGATGTGGTGTAAGACACAGATGTAAATTCATGAATGACAAGGAGATATTGACAATTAGACCTGTTCATGGTCCGGGTAGCCCGACGGCCCGGCCCGCACCCCAGCCTCTCTTGGTCATATAATTAGGCCCGCGGGCCTGACCTCGGGCTTAACACAGTAAGCCCGACTGTGTTTCGGGCCGGGCTCGGGATTTGTCAAAAAATCCCAGCTCGACTCAGTATTATATATTTTATAAAAGTCATAAAATGTGTTTTATATATTATATAAAATATATAAATAATATAATATTTATAATTTAATATATATATATATATTATTCTTTTCTTTATAATTTCAATCTATCTCTCTCTATTCAGCTGCTTCAACATTAATAATAATAATATTTCGGGCCCGGGCCCTGGCTCGAGCTTCGGGCTTTTTATGAGGGCCGGACTCGGGCCCAAGTTGTAGGCCTGATGGTTGGGCCGGGCTCGGGCTCGGGCCTTAAAAAAATTTGTTAATACACAATAAAAGCCCGGCCCGAGCCCGGCCCGGGCCGGGCCGGGTATTGACAATGTACAGCTGCAGTGCTGCATCTGCATGGGACATCGTTGGGAGAGTGCAGTGGGTAGCATATCCCTGTCCTAGGAGCTGAAAGTGGTCCGATCTCCGATGGCTGAGAGTGGATGACCGTTGAGTTGGTATACGTAATACGTGTTTCAGTATAATAAGCTGCCCAGCCAAACACTAACATGAAGGAACGGCAGCTATGTGGTGTTCCTAATACGAATCATCATTATATAATGATGCCATATGTGCATTATCATTTTAATGATTTGAAAATTTGAAAGGGAACACTTTGCCTCGAACATGACAACACGACTGACAGACAGGAGCTGTGGCAGAAATCGCAGAAACAGAAGTTTGGCAATTCCCTTTCCTTCCTTCGCGTGCGGCACTTTTTTTAAACATCCAACTCTGTCTCAACGTCCAACAAGGGAACAGGGGGAGAAGAGGAATTCAAAATCTGCGGCCATTATTAAATCACTCTGCACAATATCTGGGTTCATGGGCGTCTTTTTCCATGCATTTCATCCCATCTTTTTTTGGGCGCGGCAGTAAACCTTACCAATACCAACAATCAGGAAACAAGAGGGAATCAATCTCAACGTCACTCATCAGCCTCCCAGAGAGAAAGAGAGGAGCGGGAGACTGTCGTTTCAGCGCATCAGAGTTGTTCCTTCTTCGACGGACGGACGGACGGACGGACGGTGAAGTTCATCTTTCGCGGCCATTCAAATCACGAAAGCTCCATCGTCCGACCGAAACTCTTCCTACACCACTTTGGCACTTACTTTCTAAGATTCAGACAGATTTTCTGTAGTTCGCTGCAACCCCCCGACTCCTTTTCTTATGATCAACTCTTAGATTCTGACACTGTTGGGATTTTTAAACCTAAATCACTGCTTTTCCTTTTCCTTTTTTTTTCAGAAAGAGTTACAGGAGACTTTCAAATTACAAAGCCATTGGGTTTCTAAAATCGCAAGTGAGGATTTTTCAGATTAGATCTCGAATCCCCCACACTCTATTTGTTATCTGTTTCTTTTTTCCCCTGGTGAAAACCTGATCCTTTTTAGTATTGTATTTGCTCTTCCGGAACACGGTTTGTCGTTAGAGTTGTAGAGCAACAAGCTCTTGTTTTCTCAGATCGAAGAAGTTCCGGACCGGAAATCTAGGTGTTTTAAGCTGTAAAATTAAAACTAAGCATTTCCAATACAGTGTTAAGTGCGTCGTTTGATGGTCCGATTCTATGCTTTTTATTTATTTATTTTCTTTGAACTGACAAAAGAATTGATCTTTAATTAAACTGTGCCAAGCGTCGAAGCCTCGAACCGTCTAGATTTCTACAAGGAAAAGAAACCAATTACCATGAATGTTTAAATCTGGGTTTTATTATATATGTTTATATGAATGAACGTGTTTTGGAAATGTCGAACTGATGAGGCCGAAAAGAAATAAATGAATATTTTTGGGGCGCTTGTTTGTAAGTTGGATCTTTAATGTTTTCATAACAAGGCATTTGAGCGGGAATCCCGCATTTCGTTGAGGACTTCAATTGATTTTCTCAGTCCCTTTTGGTATGATTCTAGAAGCAGAATCCCAGTTGCATCGTTCAGGCCCACGTTATCTGCTTACATTCTCTTGCAAAGATTTTCAGCCAATGGACTCTGCAACAAAGCCTGTTAAACCTTCTTCTAACATTTCAGACATTGTCTATAGATTTGCCAAGGTTTGCAGGTTGAAATCCATTGGGGTCTTCCCCGGTGAAACCCCTAATCACCACCACGGCAACAATGGTCCTGCAACCGAAGACAGCAGCGATGCTACCGAAGAGGCGGAATACGATTTCCAGAAAATCCATCCCCAGCCCATTGAAGAAACCCTAGGCAGGCCCCCCCAAGACTCTGTCCTCACTGTGATACCCAAGCTTTTCGATACCATTTCAGCCCTCAAACTAGCTTACATTCACCTTCAAGAAGCTCACATTCCATATGATCCTGAGAAAATCAGAGCTGCCGATGACCTTGTCGTCTGTAAACTCAAAGCACTTTCGGATATCAAGCGCTCTTACAAGGAGAAGAAAGTAAGTAAATCCAAATCTGATCCGTCTTCTTCGGATTGTCTCTTGCTTGCTGAGATTCGAGATCGCGAGAAAACGTTACGTAAGTTGCAGTCACAGGTCGAAGCTCAAGATTCGGTAATCCTCCAGCTACAGCAAGAGCTGGAGACATCGGATCGAAAGAATGCCGATCTGAGTGAGAAGCTCAAGCAGAAAGCTTTCCAGGAAGAAAATGCTCGGAAAGGTAGGAACTTCTCCCCAAATTCTTTGTCAGATGCTCTCAAGGCCGCGTCGGAATCCATTCATGATTTTGCGAAGCCACTGATCAGTTTCATGAAAGCGTCTGGTTGGAATCTCGACCGTGCAGCGGACTCGATTGAAGAATCAATAGTTTACTCGAAGAGGTCTCACAAGAAGTATGCATTCGAAGCCTATCTCTCTAGACGAATGTTCCATGGGTTTTCCATCCAGCACCAGCCCCAAAATGTGGATGAGATTGCAAGGTTTAAAGACCCGTTTGATGCTTTGGTAGAAGTCCCAAATTCTACTTTTGCAAAGTTCTGCAGACTGAAGTACCCGTTGGTAGTGCATTCAGAAATGGAGGCGTCATTCTTCGGAAATCTGGATCAGAGGACATTCGTGTTGAGTGGGAGGCACCCAAGGACCCCATTCTACCAGGCGTTCGTGAAAATGGCGAAGTGGGTTTGGATCGTGCAAGGTCTGGCTGCATCAGTTAAACCTAAAGCAGAGATTTTTGGGGTCAGGAGAGGAAGCGAATTCTCGGAGGTCTATATGGAGAGTGTGGTTAAGGATGAGGAGGATGCACAGGTGCTGGTGGAGGGAGAAAATGGAAGTCTCAGGGTTGGGTTCATGGTGACACCTGGTTTCAGAGTTGGGGAGGATGTGATTAGGTCCCGGGTTTACCCGTCCAGGATGAATTCCTAGTACTAATTAATTAGTAAATGTCGAACCATCTTTTTAGTCTTTAGAGTTTAGAATTTTGGATGGAAGAAGGAGCATTTGCTAATTTTGGTAGTTTGGTTTTGTTATAGATTGGGTTTGGGCGGGTTGTAGGGGGGAAGGAAACCCATAAATGCCAAACTTTCAGATGTTGGCTCCGTTTTTGTTGTTGGCTGTTGGTGTGGTATCTGAGTGCATCTCTTATCTCTCAATTGCAATTTTCTTACTTGTAAAGCAGCTTTTGAGGAACCCCAACAATTCCATTATTGGCAAATGATGAATGTGTATATGTTCTTATTATGTTTGCAAAGATTTTGGTGTACAAGCAAAAGTATTGTCTTGGAAATGGAGAACTAATTAAAGGATGCTCTGTATGCTGCTCTTCTTCTTGTATAGCAATTAACAACCAGACTGATTTAGTACCCAACCATCATCGAATTCAATTTCAATGTTGTTTTTTCGAGAATTGTTAACTCTTTCTCAGCTCATCAGTATTTCCAAAATTGGCTCTAAGGTTTAATTTGCGAGGAAGGTGATCAGCAACTAAGACTTAACATAAACATGGTCAATTAAAGGCAAAAGATACTGTTGTCGCATTGCTGTATATGAAACAATTATGTGGTTGGTATGTATGCCCCTAGCTTAGCTATCTCTTTACAATGCACATGCTGGACCTTGAATATGTTCAGTTCAGCATATGATGTGCAGGAAAAAAACAATGTAAAAAAAGGCCATTCTCCAATAAATGAAGATTTCCTGCTATATTTATCATCATGAACTTTAGATTCCAGAAACAAGAGAAGGAAAAAAGAAGAATTCCTTGAACGTGTACCTTTTTTTTTTTTTTTTAAATTGAGAAGAGCTTGGTAAAGAAATTGCCTGATTTGGTTTTCTTCTCCAAACAGGCAACATGAACATATCTTCCGAGCTTGTCCACTTGCCTTGCTTCACCTTTGGTATCTTTCTTGCAGATCTTGCACGTTTTATCAACCCAACCATCTTCTACATATTGCCCATCCACTAAATTCCAGGACAACGTAACAGAGCCAAAAACAAAAAGACAAATCAAAGCATCGTCACTAAAACATAAATAATAGGGTAAGTTGCACAGGGGAAACAACCCACAGCAGAAATAAAAAATGAATATAAAAGAAACAGGATTACAGGAAGCCAAAAAGAAGTCCAAGCACGACCCTCAAAAAGGGCTGAAACACTTGTTATTATATTATTATTTGCATCAGACAATTTTATAAACAAATAACTTGTAGCTGCTGTGCAAATACTTTCCAGAAACAGGGCTTTATTAAATCTAAAAAATTGATGCTGCAAATTTGAAATACTCTATCAATTTCAAAATGAAAGACGGGAAGAACATATTATGTTCTGACGTTAGATCAAAGAAAAATATTTTGAAAACATACGACGCTTTACACTAATAATTCGATTGGGATTTGAAGAAACCTAAACCATATGAGACAAGGCACAAGTTATGGGTTGGGTAGGATTTACCGTCGACGTAGGACTTGAAGAAATCCTTGTATGTCCCGCCAATTTTACGTCTAAGAGCTCCGTACTGCAGGAAATATTAAGTTGCTGTATTTGTCAAGAAGGAAAGATAATGGATCGACAGAAAATATTGTACACATACAGAAGCTGAATTCTGATTCTCTGAAGACTGAACAACTCAACAGCTGCATTACATGTTAAGAAATAACAGACATATAGACATACACATGTAAGAAGGAATGGATGAATCCTTATTGGGGCTTACCTGTTCCCTAGTCATCCTTCCTCCAGACCTTGTGGCTTCTCTCGCTTCCTCGAGAAGTTGGGCATCCTCGACGGATCTAACTTGAGAGAAATCTAGAGCTTCCGTCACACTCCCAAACAAAGATTGCTTATTACTCTTCTTGCCTTCTTCTTTCTTGCCCTTGTCATCCAGTTTAGCCCAAACGCCTCTCAAGTTAGAGCGCTTCACCCTGTATTGGGTTTGGAGACCCCCTAAAATTGAAGGGCAATAGTTTTGCGAAGACGACAATGGAAGAGCCTTCATCCCGCCCCGCTTCTTGCTTGTTAAATTCTTTAAGCACAGAACGGTGCTTGTTTTGGTTATGAGATGGAAGAGTCGCCAGAGATTATATATATATATATATATATATATATATGTGTATAAGGAAACATGAGATGGTGGAATTGTAGTGGTGTATGATGCCGAACGTGGCCCCCTGTTTAACCTGTTGAAACAACAAGAGGTGGCTGGGCTGTTGCCTTTGAACTTGATTGATCACAATAAGTACAAAATATCATCATCATCATGGAAAAAGTAACCATGGGGCAAAACCAGTGATATGAAGCGAAGGGAATAAACCAGTACTGTTGTAATGTAGAGAGGTAGAATGGGAATCTGTGGCGTATAATAAAGCATGAAGCCGCAAGCTTGTGTTCTCTTGTTTCTCCACATGCATATTGCAATTGCAAAAACCTAACGACCTAGGCTGCTGGGCTTGTCAATTGTCATCCACCGTGAATACTGAATAGGACCAGACCGTTCCGTTCTTTCCATGGTCGGTCCTACGGAAGAAGCAAACACATCTAGTGGACCAGAATTTGCCATTTGCCAACGCCAAATCTTCATCTTGTGCTTGAAATGAAATCCCAGCCGCAACCGCCAACCGCCAACCGCAAATAAAATAAAATAAAAATGCCACTAAAATCCTTCAACCGGACACTTTTTGTTAAATTTGAATCTGATAAAAACACTCTATAGCCCAACTTCCACTGGCTGGCTTGAATAGCACCTGCTATTATTGCTACTAACCCAAAAGCCATGAAGTCGATTCTTCATCATACGTTCAAACTTCAAAACGCCAAATCTAATTGAACCAAACTGTGTAATTCCCAATTCGGTTTGTTCTAAATCATAAACCGTAAACCAAATATCTTAGTTTAATTTTGGACCAGCCTTCCCTACCATTCAAGAAGCATAACTGACCAAAATTAGCAAAAGAGGCGATGATGATGATGACGCATTAGTTAGAAACTCATGGAAGTGCAGACTCTCCATGTAAGTGAAACTCAGTGGATCCCACATGAGACCTACTAACTGGCTCTAGTTTATCGCACCTCTCCCCGGGCCAAAGCTGCACCACATCCACATACATATACACAACAAAGAAAAGGGGTAAACTCCAAATACCCCCCCCCCCCCCATGATTTGGGGGCTCTGTGAACCCTTGTTTCATAGTAAAAACAATGAGTGGCATGTTTGATTGACTTGACCAACTGATCGATGACCAGTATTTCTACAAGGATCTATGCCATCAAAGTGGTTTCCTTGGATCAGTCAACTGATCTCATCTATGCAAGTAATATATCGAGATTTTAACAAATCAAGGGCATCCACCAATTCAACTCAAAAATCTAGGCCTTCATATGGTTTCCAAGAATAATGGATTAATTTCATCTAAGTTAAGATCTTCTTCTTCTTGGTCCCAAATTTTCACTATAACCACTAGCAGCAGGAGACCTTAACAATCATCAAGTTGGCACTTTGCCATCCAAGTGAAGGTATGAGGTTTCAGTTTTAACCTAATGTATTCCAAAATTACCTTGATGTGCTGTTTTGATGCCTTTTCACAATCTTTATTTTATTTTATTTTTTTATTTGATACGTCATTTGCACCTGATTTTTTAAGAAAATTTCATGCATTAATTGAATGGCTGAGATCTAATATTGTTGCATTCTTGGATGGTCATAATTAATTCATCACTCTTAAGAGAAAGACCGTTTTGGAAGCATGGATTCTTGGGTTGATTGCTTTGGCTGGCCAGACTGAATTGATTGAAGTCTTGGTATATCATTTGGATGGTTGGGATTAATTCATTGTTCTTAAGAGATAATTTTGATGGCTTATCGTCTTTGGGATGATTTGGTTTATCGGTTGTATGACTTAGATTTAGTGCAACACTTGGAATCACTTGATCGATCCGTGGTGGACCGGATATTTAGTTTCAAATCTTTTCCACATCACTTGGATTTTCAAGATCAGTTGATTGGCTATGAGGCTATTAATGGTCTAGATCTTTGGTTTGAAGATTAACAGCGGGAATATTTTTGAAAATATTAATGGAAAAGTGCACAATAATATTACAAATAATTAAAAAGGGCATTTTAGGGTTTTTGAAATATCTAAGATGGTAAAAGGATGCTAGAATCAAAGCAACGTTGCCCAAAAGTGCAGACCTCCCTGACGAAGTGACGATCATAATACCCTCCCTTCCCTTGAGGTTTCACTTTAACAAAAGTCCATGTAATTTCACTTTAACAAAAGTCCATGTAATTTCACGTCCCTTCCATCTTTGTCTCAGTAATGGACACTTCAAAAGTTACAAAATTATGGTTATAACTTATTAGGACATCGTTCAATATAATTCAAAATGTCAGATTTGCCCTTTTAATCTTCATTAGGCCTAACATTTTATAGAGCAAAATTACTTTATCCTTCTTAATGTGATTAGGAGAATTTTTTAATTAAAACTGAGATTTTTTTTGGTGTATTTTAGTAAATTTCCATCTGAATCAATATAATATAAAAGATTAAAATGGGTACTTTTGAAAAGCTAATGCATTAGGCCACCGTTTTCCGTCCAAGACAAATAACAACACAACAGGGAGGTAACTGCAGGTTTTTCAATATTACATAATTACATTACATGGGAGGTTTTTGTGAAAATAAAACCTCGGGAGGTTTTTATATTATGAAAATTATAATCTATCCCACCTTAAAAATTTTTTATTTACTTTACAAAACCCCCACTTATCACCCACCTACAACTCTTGAATTGTGTCGGATTCTGTTATTAAGGCTCCGTTTATTTGTGATATAAACGCCAAACCAGGGTATTTATGTACCCCGGTTTGCATTTATTTGATACGTAAAAAAGTAATGATTATCAGAGCAAAAATATATTTTCTGACACTTTTGTACTTTGAGAAGAGAGCATTGTAGTACCTATTTTTTTGGATACAATTTTGTGCTCTTTTGATAATTAACTTTTTGACCAAAGTTAAGGCATTGGAGCATAAGATAGTTGGAACATTTAATAATGGGCCCACATTTTTGCACTGATTTCAAACAAACAAGATGAATGCGAATTAAAATGTAAACCGTGTTTGCATTCATGAACTGAAAAATAGATAAATATATAGTGTACATATCTACATTTGCATTGCAACCAAAGGCAGCCTAAACAGTGGCAATTTTGAGAGGTGGGGGAATGAATAATTTTCCCTTTTATATTTTACCAAAAAAGTAACTAGGTGGACTTTTAGAAAAGGATTTGCCAAAAAAGTAATAAGAAAAGAAAGAAAAAAAAAAACAGATGACAGACTTCAATGGAAGATGGATTATATATTGGATGAGGCTAATCCTGCGGCCATATGTTTCCTTTTCTAAAACCAATTGTAACAACTAACAAGAGTAATTTAGTTTGACAGAAAATAACTATAAGAGACGAAAAGTTCTGTGCACAGCCTAAAAGTCTGCCCTATACCAGTTAGGATCCATTTAAATAATCATGTTGGCAAGTTGCAACAGACGTGTTAACCATTAAGAACTGTGTATGAATATTCCAGAGGCTCTGTGCCCCTTGCTATTATTGCCATAAGCTTGGCAATTTATCAGTATCATTTTTCTACAACATATACCGCTCTGGTTGGTTGGGTTCTAACCACAGAAACTTGGCATGCTAAACCAGATACACTTTGTAGTCGGGGGCTATACAACATACACCATACCAACCTCAAGGAGAGACACTGGTGGCACCTTCAGTGCTACATCCGGTCCCCGGCAATTCCTCCTTAGAAAATTGTACCCAAAATCAATCGCTATTTTCTTCAGCAGTGATGATCCTTGCTTTGCTCTCACATGCGAGTGTCCAAGGATGAACGCTGTTCCTGCTTGTTGAGCTGTCAAAAGCTCTTCCAGCTCTTCCTCTACACCAGCATCCATCATGTAAGATCGTGTATCAGTCTCCGATTCACTGTCAATGGCGAACCTCACCCTCCTCTCTACACCACCTATAGGCTCCATCTCTATTACATCTGTTACACTCTCCACTGTCTGGAACCCCAGTGATACGCTTGCAGGCTGCAAACTTTCCTCAATCTCGTAAGCTGGTGGACCAGAGAATGCCACCATTCCAATCACCGTCAGCCTACAGTCCCCTGTTGACTCACCAGATCGGGACCCATCATCCTCAATACATGAATTAGTCCCCCCCATGGTCCTGTATCCATCATAGCGGATGAAATCAGCCAGCCTATTAACAAGTTCAGACTCAAACGAGTCTACATCTTGATGAACATCTCGGTACCCATAACGTACAATGCATCTGTAGGACCTATGATCTGGTGGACCTACACGACCCACAAGATAACGCTCAGCTGGTGGCACATAAGGTACAGGTACAGATTTGACACACACAAAGACAAGGACGCGATGGAAGGCAGGGAGGTTAGTGACGAAGCGGGAGAAGTTTGCAGGGATGCCAGAGGTGAGATCAGTGTACACTAGGCCAATGCCAGGGACTCTAGAAATGCCCAGGCTGGGACCCAAGGCTAGGAGCCACTCCAAGGACACCTTGTTGTGGAGATCAAACTCATATTTCTTGATGGTTGCATAATGCCAAACAAACATAACGGTCATCAGAAAGAGGGCTAGGAGGATGGGAAGCCAGGCCCCCTCACGGAATTTGATGAGTGAAGCTGAGAAATAGAGGACTTCAATTGTTCCAAAGAAGAGTAGAAAGCCAAGGGCTAAAATAGGTGGTTTATGCCAACAGATGATAATGACTAATGAAGTGAGGCATGTGGTAACTAGCATTACTGTCATCACTGCCAGCCCTGCAATTAGATAGCAGGAAAATTGCATTAATACATGTAATGAAGAGGTGAACTTCAGAAGTTTATGTCCATGGGCAGAAGTCATTGGCCTTGAAAATCAGTGTGAGGTTTAGCCAATTACAGCTTACCAAAAGACTGGAAATAGAGTTTTGTGAAAGTAAGGTATTTTAGTAGCCTTTCGGTTTCTATTGTAAATTTCAATTTGAAGTAGCTTATTTTGCAACCTACGGTTACTTAGCCTGTAAAGACTTGTTAAGTTGCAATATACTATCCACTCGTCAAATTTGTGAAAAAAAAATCTTTTTTTTAGCAGGTTTTATTCTGGGCCCACCCAATTTTAATAGAACTTGTCCGTCAGCAGTGAAAGGATGAAAGATATCTCCATTAATAATAATATTTTTTGAAAAGTAGACATATAGTGATAAAAGTAAAGAATTATATCGAGGTATTGTTTTCCAAAGTACTCCCTCACTAGTAATTAAGGGTCTGCCTCGTCTCCAACATCTCTTTTTGCTCCTAAACCAAAAGCCCCTCACTGCATGGGGAAACTCCATCTACCTCCACTAGTGAGACTCCATTTTCTGTCTACATTGGTGAGCTCCAATCAAGTAATAAGGATTATGACACTAAGACACTAATATCCTTCTTGTTCTCAATCCTTTTTTCTGTTTCTACCTTTCCCCATTTCCTCTCTACTTTGTAAATAGTGAGATACCTAGTCCTATTGCAAGATATTGCATCTAGGCCCTTCCATCTTAACTTCTCCCTTCCATAGTTTAATTTTAAAATATTAACTAAAAGATCACCGGTCAACTTAGGGGAAGCTGAGTCAATTCAGCTTGACTATCTTTCTGTACAGAACCATGAATTTCTTTTGGACCAAGAAAGATAGAAAATCAGGTACCACCATTTAAAGCTGTTACAATGAGGCAGTACATAAGGTTCTAAACTTCTAATAATTTGCTATACTTCATACGTTCATCAAAATCTTGATGCACAACATCAATTAATTTATTGGGGGGATTTTGAATAAAGAAAGAAACTGAACGAGATATTAGTGACATGGACATGTACCTGATGCATTTCCAATGTGCTTCGTGTCTCTGAACCCAATGGTCACAGCAATACAGAGGATCATGAGCATCCAGTTGATCTCAGGGATGTAGATCTGGCCATGTATCTTTTCAGAGGTATGGACAACCTTGACCCTTGGGAAGCAACCCAATGACTGGCTCTGGTTGATGATAGAGAATGTTCCACTGATGATCGCTTGGCTTCCCACCACAGAAGCAAGAATTGCTACTATAAGCACTGGCCACCTCACACTTTCTGTGAAAAAAAAAAATCAAACACTAGACCTTTTCTCTCTGTGTGAACCAGTGCATGTAACTGATACTACTAATTGCAACCAGCCAAGAAAATTCGGTTATAATCAAGACCAAAATTGATGATACAATCCATTAGTCACCCAGAAAAAGCTCCAAGTCATATCAAATGATCTAAAATGCAGAAAGGCAAAAAAGTGTTGAGCATTTTCATTTCTCCAGTTTAAGTAGATACAAGAGAAGGTTCTCGAGAATCAAGAAATACAAGGAAGAAACATGTGGTAAATGTGCCACGTGGTGATTACTAGTACAGGTGTCCTACTGACCCTGCCAACCGAATAACAAACTCAAATACTGTTACAGTACAGATTGTAATATGCCCCCTCAAGTAGGAGCATGGCTACAAATAATGCCGAACTTGGATAGTGCTGCAATGAATTGATCCTTGCCTAGAGCCTTAGGGCCCGTTTGGCAAGTATTTTTGAGAAGATCTTCTCGTAGCTCTAACAGTCAATAGACACATTGAGCTTTTGACATAAGATCTGGGCAGCCCGAAGACCGTTGGTAGACGCGCATCTTTCCGTGCGTCGTTTCGGGTCTTTCCGCGCGAGATTAAAACGTTTAAGACGCGGGAAGCTTCATTTAGAGCTTCCTAAAATCAGCCCAAAATGGGCTCCGCGCGTCTTTTCGGCACCACGTCTTTTGGCGGCTAGATCTTCCGCGTGCCAAACGGGAATAGACCGATTTTCTGTCTTCCCAGCTTGTAAAAAGCCGAAAGAACGCGCAAAAAGATGCGCCAAACGGCGCCTTAGTGAAGATGTTGGCTGGTTGACTCTTTGTAGGAAGGTGGGAAGTGACGATAATTCCTGATTGAAGATGATGCCTGATGAAATGACAATCAATTTCAATGTGCTTGGTACACTCATGGAATATTGGATTCACTGCTATGTGGAGTGCTGCCTTATTATCGCAGTATAGTTCCATGGGTTGAGAATGTTGTAGGTTTGAGTCTATGAACAGCCAACGGAGCCACAAAAGTTCACTGATGGCAGCTGCCATGGAACGGTATTTGGCTTCAGCTGAGGAACGGGATAGTGTAGATTGCTTCTTGGATTTCCATGACAAGGGAGAATGGCCAAGAGTGATGAAGTAGCCTATAGTGGATCGTATGGTAAATGGACACCCTGCCCAATCAGAATTGCAGTAGGCCCACAAAACCAGATCATTGTTGGTAGAGCGGCGAATTCCTTGATTTGGGGATGACTTCAAATAGCAAAGGACCCTAAAAGCTGCATCCATATGCTACTGACATGGTTTGCACATGAATTGACTTAAAATATGTACATCGTATGTTATTTCTAGCCGAGTAATGGTCAAATAGATGAACCTTCCAACCAATTGTCTGTAGCATTCTGGATTATCAATGGGTGGGCATGCATCTGGCTCAAGGCGATGTTGTTGCTCCATCGGGAAGGGACACGGCTTACAAGCCAACATGTCAGCATCTTGGAGTATGTTAAGTGTATATTTTCTCTAACAAAGGAAGAAGCCATCATCCGTTCTTGAGACTTCGATGCCCAAAATATATTTTAGTGGGTCAAGATTCTTAATTGGGAAATAATTTTGGAGATATTGCTTCAACGCTACAATTTGAGTAGGATCACTACCTACGATGAGTAAGTCATCAACATAAGCCAAAATAGCAAGAGCTGAGTTGTGACTAAAGGATGTAAAGAGAGTGGTGTCAGCTATAGACTGAGTGAATCCCCGTTGTTTGAGGGCCCGCACTAATGTATGAAACCAATTTCGAGAGGCTTGTTTGAATCCATAGATAGACTTATTAAGGCAACACACGCGCGGGCCAGTGAAGTTGAGCAGACCCGGGGGTGGTGTCATGTAAATCTCTTCACGGAGTTCACCATGCAAGAAGGAATTATTCACATCCATTTGATGGGTTCCCATTTTCAAGCCATAGCTAATGCAAGTAAACAACAGACTATCACTAGCTTTGCAATCGAGGCATAAGTTTCACTGTAGTCAATTCGTTCAGCTTGAGTGTACCCTTTGGCCACTAAACGAACTTTGAATTGTTCAATTGAACCATCCGGTTTCAATTTGGTTTTGTAGACTCATTTTCACCCAATAGCCAGCCTTCTTGTGGGGGGGTAATGTTGTAAGGGTCCAAGTGTTGGTAGCTTGAAGAGCATTTAGTTCAATTTACATCGCCTCTCTCCAACATGAGTGTTTTTGGGCTTGAGAGTAACTGGTGGGCTCAAATGGGATGTTTGGACAGTTGGAGGAATAATTGGATATGGGGTATCGAATGGTAGGACAAACAAACCGGATAGATGAGATGGACTGCAATGTATTCTCAGTTCCAGATATGGTTGAAGTGGAATGTTGGGTGTAATTGTGCTCCAATGGTTCTGGGTCTATATTTGTGACAGGCAGTGGTATGACTGGGCCCGAATCTGATCCATTTGCATCTTGCAATGTTGTTGCATTGTAAGGGAACTGATTTAAAAAAAAAAAAAGAAAAAAAAAAACATCATGTGACACAAAGAATTGGTGTCTCAAGACTGTAAAGTCTATAACCCTATTTTGGCCATGTGGATATCCAACGAACATGCATTTAATGGATCTTGAGTCAAATTTGTCACGTCCTCCGCAAAGAGTCTGAGCATAACACAGGCACCCGAAAACCTTCAAATGATAATAGTTGGGTGGCCTTTGGAAGAGTATTTCATAGGGAGTCTTGCCCGAGAGTACAAGTTTGGACAAATAATTAATGATGTGTGCCGCAATGAGTACACATTCTCCCCAGGATGTAATTGGTAGGTTGGCTTGAAATCTGAGGGCCCTTGCTGTCTCCAATAAATGCCGATGTTTTCTTTTAACAACCCCATTTTGTTGTCACAAGATCTCTGATGTTCTATCCCATGCTCATGTAGGTAAGAGAGCATTGGTCCAAATAAAAATTTTGAACCATTTTCCAAATGTGCACTCTTAATGGTAGTGTGAAACTAGTTTTGCACGAGAGCCAAAAACATGACAAAGTAAGAGTTGGCTTCGAAGTTGTGCTTAAGCAAGTACACCCAGGTAGCTCGAGAAAAATCATCAACTATAGTGAGGAAATAATGGGCACCACTGTGAGAGGGGGTATGATATCCACCCCATATGTCACGATGGATTATTTCAAACAAAGAAGATGTGCTACTGCTACTAATAGGATAACTAAGCCTTGTTTGTTTGGCTCTAAAACAAGTGTCACAACATTTATTAAATGGTGGTACAATCCTCAAACTAGGTATCTTTGACAGCCGTGAATAGGAGGCATGTCCCAATCTGGAATGCCATATCTGAGAATTCACTACGGTAGAAGAACAGAAGGCCACAGTTGTTGGAGTAGTTGAGGGTGCAATATAGAAGTGGTAAAGACCATCATGCATGATACCCACCCCAATCAGTTTCCTGGTTGCTTGGTCCTGCATAATGCAGAATGTGGGAAAGAACACTATGACACAGTTTAATTCTAATGTAATCCTGCTAACTGAGATTAAGTTACACTTGAAGTCTGGTACATGTAACACATCTTTTAACGTTATATCAGAATTCAAGGGCACTTGCAGTTTAGAATCAACAGGTAAAAGAGTACCATTGGGCAATAGAACTAGATTATGATGATTATCTAGTCCAGTGGTGTCTTCAGCATGGCAAGTCATGTGATCCGAGGCTCCACTGTCAATGAGCCAGGATCTTGAACTAACAAGATTAACTGAACCAGAAACCTTACGCGCAAAGTATGCAGATGTCGCAATGGTGGTCTGATTCTCACCATCAAGAAAGTTAACTAGTTGGCGGTATTGCTCAATGGTTAAGCCAGGACTGGGGATTCTGATGGAGTATTTGTTGTTGCCTGATTGGAGGCAGACGACTATTTCTTGGAAGTGTTTTTGTTGTTGGTTTTATTCTTAGTCTCCAAGTCTGATGGATAGTCGACAAGCTCATAGCATTTTGCCTTGACATGCCCAATCTTTTTACAATGATCACAACGAAGGTGAGGCCAATCTTTCTGTTTTTGTGGATTCCTGGATCCAGATCCACTCGCATAGAAGGCTGCACTATCCACGGTTGGTGGTTTGCTACCACTTAAAGAGAGGTGTTTTTCTTCTTGTGATACAAGAGCATAGACCTTGCTGACATTTGGCAGTGGTTTCATGGTAAGAATACTAAATCTTATGGTGTTAAATCGTTCACCGAGTCCTAAGAGGAATTGGTAGACTCGTTCCTTTTCTCTCTCATCCAAGATAACTTTGATGGCACCACCGCATGAACAATTCGGAGTGGACGAGTATACAAAGATAGCATCCCACAGACTCTTAGTTTTGTGTAATACATAGCAATTGACAAATTTTCTTGACGAAGCAGAGACAAGTCTCGCTTCAGTTCAAAGACTCGTGGAGCATTTCCTTGTGAATATCGATCCTCCAAATCCTTCCAAATATCTCTGGCTATCTCTGCATAGGCAATGCTTTCATGCAGATCTCTGGCTAACGCATTAAAGAGTCAAGATATCACCATGGAGTTGGATTTGAACCAGGCAAGAAATTCACTATAATTAGCTGGTTCAGGTTTTGAAATTGATCCATCCACGAATCCAACCTTGTGCTTGGCGTTGAGAGTATTCAACATTGCTCTTCTCCATGTTGCATAGTTGTCTTTGGTCAGTGGACAGGAAACTAGAATAGCTCCGGGGTTGTCTGAAGGGTGAAGATAATATGCAAACACCGGATTTGAAGGAGTTCCAATCATTCCTCTGGTAGCAATGTTGGATGCCATTGAAGAAATGAACTGAAGGTGACGGGCTCATACGAGTTTAAACAGAAATTGCAAAAACAGAGCAATTTGGCTCTCATACCATCTAAAATGCAGAAAGGCAAAAAAGTGTCAAGCATTTTCATTTCTTTAGTTTAAAGAGATACAAGAGAAGGTTCTCGAGAATCAAGAAATACAAGGAAGAAACACGTGTTAAATGTGCCACGTGGTGATTATTGGTACAGGTGTCCTACCGACCCTGCCAACTGAATAACAAACTCAAATATTGTTATAGTACAGACTGTACTAAATGACTTATTTTTTGATATCAACCTCCATTGTGACCTGGGTGACCAGGGTTCAAATCTTGGAAACAGAGTATCTGTATGTGCAGGGGTTAAGGCTGCATACTCTGTCCCTCGCCAGATCCCACATTGGTGGGAGCCTCGTGCACTGGGCTGCCCTTTAACCTCCATATTGCTGTTATAGAGCCATTGCTTGCTGTTATAGAATACATGTTCAAGTCTGATAGTAGCCACTGTTATGCATTTTATTTGGCTTTCTTATTCCAGAGTGATTAAAAAAATGCCTTTTGCAACTGAAGCAACTGATATTTGTGTTTTTACTATATGCTGGTGGAAGTGGCATATAATAATGAAAGGTGAATTTTAAGAATAGGGAAGTATTGAATATCCAGTTGATGCTCACTAATTTCTCGTTGGGCTATTTAGTTTTCCAAATATAGAAGATCATACTGATGAAAGGCGTTTTGTATTAGGACCACTTAACAAGAAAACTTAAAAGCGTTCTAGGAGCCAAATGGTATGCACACATTGTCCATACAGGGGTATCATCAGTACATGTTTATTCTCAATTATAACCAAATTAGAAAACCTTAAGAAAACTAATTCAATCATAGACAAAAACAACTTGTTCTCTGTGATTGTATACAGTTGATTGAGAAAAGTAAATTTCGCAGGGATCTAACATAGGCACAAAACAATGAACCATGTAAAATCTTGTGTTTTCTTCTCCATTTGCATATCTCACAACAGATATATTCTGAGTAATGGTGTAATATTCAGGCTTGAAGAGAAGAATACCTGGAACAGAGACGTAAAAGCCAATCTTGTAACTGTTGTGATGATGCTTTGACAAATATGCAGCTTGACCCATGTACGCTAAAATAAGTGCAGGATAAACCAGGAATGTAAATGCAATCTGCAGTTGGATACAGTAAGAATTTGGTAGAAGAAATAGATTCTAGCAAATTGAATATCAGTTTGGGAGGGGGTTTCCTAGTCATGATCAAATGACCTGGATTGCAGTGTAAGTGAAGTGGCCAAGATCTGCAAACATTGCCTCTGAGCCTGCATTTGTAACCACATATCATAGGGATCATTGGCACTTCATTTGTATTATATTTGTACGAAAATTGAACTATTCACCTGTTAAATAAATCAACCAAAAAAATTGAGAATCTAAAGACAAAATTACTAGACAGAAACGTGGTCCATTACTGCATAGACATGGTGGACAAATAAATAAAAGTTGCAAACAACATCTACATTGTACACTTAATAGCTTGGTATTTAACTAAAGGATCTAAGAGCCCATAATTTGATGATGGATATGGCACTGAACAGAATGGAATGGTAAAACAGGATTCATGTAGCCAACCTCATATAGTCAGGACAAGGCTTAGATGATGATGATATTCATGATAAAGAAAATGATAAAAAATAATTACGACAACTGATAAAATGTTTTATTTATTAATGATAAAAAGTGGGTCCTTAGTTAAAGCGGTTAAAAATGAAATTATGAAATATGATTAATTCATCCCAATTTGTGAATTAACTCGCATTGAAACAAGAATCTACTCAAATGCGTTAAGTAGCAAATTCAACAACCATACTGGAACACCATGGGTGGGTTGGAGATGGCCTATGCAATATTATACCACAATATATAGAGAGAACTGATATGGGTAATCCTATCTTTGTTAAACGAGGCATATTCCTAGTGAAAATACAAACTACTGCTTGCAATGATGAAAACAAAGATTTAAGGGTGCAAGTCTTTTAAAACTAGGCATATTCCTGTGTTTGAGAATGGTCACTTTGGGCAGAAAATGCCAAGGGTTAGGCCATATCTAGTCCACCCTTCCCAAGACCTCATATAACTGGAACCAACATTGGGCAATGGCCTTTTTTCCCTTTGTGAATTACCAGAATCTCTGGTTATGCAATTTCAGATGTACATGTTATGAAAATAACAAAAAAAGTACCTGTTATGCACAATAAGATTCCACCCAAAGACATCCAGCCACTTCTCCTTGTTTTCTTTAAGAACTTGTACATGTAATATGGAGAAAGAGCCTGATAAACATGTGGGTTCCAGTGGAATATATTGTACAAGCCAAGAGCACTGATGCACAGTAGCCAAGTTAGCACAATTGGTGCAAAAATGAATCCGACCCGATGTGTGCCATAGTGTTGAAGAGCAAATAGACACACTAATATGAAGCATGTGATCGGAACCACTGCATCTGCAATGGAGAACATAACCACAAATTTGTTAACGTTGAGATGCATTAAATAAAACTTGTAGCCGATGATTAGACTGTTTTCCTCAAGTGTCATACTGGTACTACAGTATTGTTACATAGTGGCAATGATTGGACAATTAGAAGTTCAATACTGAAGTTCCCTGTGATACCTGACACTGAAATGGCAGCATATTTTGTATGCACCATAACTCATATTTTGGTTTTGGATAAAAAATGAAAGCACATATAATTACTTTTATTGTCAATATGCATCAGCACCAAAGATGCACTTTCCACTTTGTAAGAAGGGGCTTTCAGCAAAAGTTGACTTTCCATATACCGGCCACCATGAAAGAGATGGAGATAGGACCAAAGAATAGTGTATTTCAGACAACAAATTGGACAACTAGTCAGTCCCTCTAGTTCAACCTGTTTTTTAAAGCCTTTTCTCACTAACTGGTCCAGATGGACCCAAGTGGACCCTCTTACCCACTTTCCCACCTTAAAGAGAGCTACCACTTGCTGCAGCATACTTCTGGTTGTATGAAACACATACATTCTTCCCCATTAATTGTTTTTTTTTTATGAATTCTTCCCCATTAATTGTTTAAAATCAATTTATCCAAAAAAGTCAACAATTACTAAGGGACAATCTTGAAGTCAGAATGGACTAAAGTTTCCATTCACCGCATCAAAGCCCTTTGTTATCTGAAACACAAATGTTCTGTCCTGTTCAAACTAATAACGCTATTGACAAATTTCTTCTTTTTATTCAGAAAAAATGCTTGTTTTTTTATGGATAAGCAATAGTAAAAGATACTTTATTGTTTTCCCCTTCTACATTGAAACAAATAGTTCTTATTACCAAAATATCATGTCCAGATTTCATAGATAGGGGAGAAACTAACAGGAAGTTAAAGAATGTTTAGGGCAAAGAATCAATGCAAGTCTGTTTTGTTTCATTGATAGGAAGTTCTTAATAAAAATTGGCATGATTATATTTACTAGGCATGCATAATAAAGAGTATAAGTTCCATGTAAGATCAGGCGAACAGGTTTTATTCACTGACTGCTCCTACTGTCAATGAAATATATTAAGGAAAATGATAAAAGGAAATATCCAGAATTAGAGATTTGACAAACTTACACTGGTGGTGTTCCTTGGACATTGATAACTCAAGGCCTGAAACTGCTGAGAAAACTAGAGAGAGAGAGAGAGAGAGAGAGAGAGAGAGATTTGGTCAGGGAAGGTAGAGGATGCAGAGATAAAGAATAAACTTACAAAACAGGGGAAGCAAATACCAGAAATGGCTGGTGTGAGCAATCCATCCCCAATTACCATACAGGTACCAAGCAGAACTAATATTAACAAAGCAGTGTGCAGGGATTTGTGCTTCTCAAGCAAAATTTTCACCCTTGAGCGGTTTTTCTTCTCCGGAGGAGATTCTAATTTATATGTAGAGAGTGCTTCATCTGCAACCTGCCTGTTGGGCAGAAGGCTAACTTTTGCGTGCCTACATATCAAAGAATAAAGAGCAAAAGTTCCACCTGCAAATCATGTACAGAAGGCACAAGCATAAGTGGGGCACAAATATTATATCTGTAAAATATTGAAGATTTCTAGTACTCTCACAATAATTCTAAACAGACTTGTGGTATTTACCCTCTCCATTGTCATCAGCTCGAAGAACCACAAAGACGTACTTGAAAAGAGGAACTAGAGTTAGAGTCCAGAAGACAAAAGATAGCACGCCAAAAATCTCTTCATTCGTCTCCGAATGATGAATGTCTTCTGCAAACGTGCTCTTGTAAACATACAGAGGGGAGATACTCAGGTCCCCATAGACCACACCAAGACTTTGATAAGCTAACAACAAAATTGTCTTCCAAGAGTCCTTCTGCAAAAGGAATTCAATGAACCATTAACGCGGTAAGAAAAAGACATAAACACCCAATTTTCTTCTTAGTGAACCAAATCATATTTCTAGCAGATTAAAGGAAGCTCAAGTGAGTAGCACACGATTTTTACAGGTAGCACCTATTTCACTATCATAATCAGACTAAAGTGAAGCGCAATGAAGTTCAACCAGAAAGGAGATGAATGAACCTTGGAAGTACTCCAACACTTGCCACAATCGAGATCCATGGCTTGACGGGGACTCGACCTTCACGCTTAGATTCTATTCCTGGCCACCGGTACTTACAGATCTGCATGGAAAAGCCAAAGCATTTTTGTGGAATAGACGGGACAAATGAGAGAAGAAATGAGATGAAAAAACAGAGACAGAGGAACTCCAAGAAAAAAGCGTATACTAATGAATTCGGCTAATCTCGTTACTTTGATTCACATGGCCAGAGGAGACAAAAACAAGAAGCATCCGAGCGCTCTTCTCGATAAATTCCCACTTGATGTCCATACCATTCTCATGTTCACCGATTTGTTGTATATTTTTACAAAACAAATTTCAAGTAGTGGATAAAGCCCAAGAGTCCAAAACGGAGCCACTACCAATAGTTTGTTCAAAAAGATAGTGCAAGAATGGAAGAAAGCCAACACCAAACAACTTGATCTCAGGAGCGTCAAAATTCTTCCGACAAACTTCTTTGGCCCAATATTTAATTATGCGTTTCTGTGGTAGTTTAGGCAGGTATAGACTATAGAATTTGGGAGGTCACTGTTGCTTCCTATTGAACTACAGCCTCCGACCCAAATGCTCAACATTGGCCAATCAAATGGAAGAAAAACCAACTGTCAAGGAATCTCTTTGAATGGAATTTTTTATTACTTTATTGGTTTCTTTTTTCGGAGAAAGTAGAAACACAGAAAAAGCGTTTAAGATACAATCACGTGGTACAAACTACAAAGATAAGAAGATTCTCGATAACAAAGCAGTCATGCCAAACAAAAGAATAGCCCACGACACGAAATAGGTGGTTGAAAAGCTGGAGAGAGAGAGAGAGAGAGAATCAGTGAATCACATCACAGAGCGCGCCAAATTTTATCAGAAGGGTAAGGGCTGGCTAATGGCTATCCACAACAAATCTCTTCTCTCTTCCAGGTTCCAAAGAGATCTAGGCTCTTATTTTTCATTCCTTTTCCTCTAAGGACGAAGGAAAAGACGAAGACTTATAATAAGAGAGACAAATTTGCAGCCATCATGCATTTAAGGAAAAGGCGAAAGGCGAAGAAATCGGATTTGGTCCTCACATATAGTAGCTAAAATTTACACTTACAGTGCGACTTTTAAAATAAGGAGAACTGGAAAAGTGGGGAGAAGGAGAAAGAATATATAAAACAAAGGTTGCTTGAGCCTTGAATGCTTGGTATTTTATACGCATAAAAAAAAAAGTCTAGCTATGTAAAAACACAACACAAATAAATTTGGAGGACTTACCCAGATCCACCGACAAATGAAACCTACTTCGTAGAAATTCTTACGAGGAAATTGCAGAGATTCAACCTCAAAGAGCAATAACAGGGAGAGGGATTGGAACCAGCCGAAGGATAGCTTTCTCCCTCTCTAGTCATGACTTCACGTGAAAGCGTGAAGGGTAGCTTTCTCCCCCTCTGGTCATGACTCATGAAATGCTCCTTACCGGAAGCATACCACTCACCATTGCTTGGGTTGGGCATCCACTATATCCAGTAGGATCAGTACTGAGTACTCTACCCTGAACCTAAACTGACAAGTGAAAAGACGAACCAAATTAGCTTTTCTGTTTTCCTCTTTTCTTGCTTGGTGCGCTTCTCTTTTCCTCTTTACTTTTGCACTAGGTCTCTTTTTAGTAAAATCCAACTTTTGAGTCGCCTCGTCTTCATTTTAGCGCCTGAGCTCCATTTGTAAGGACTAAGGAGATATATTCCTTTTACATTTCTTTCTTTATTTTTATTTTTGCTTCTTTCCGGATTTCAGATGCATGGATATTGGATACTGCATACGGAGGTATAACATAACAGAAATATATAGTTCGGCATTTCTAATTAAGCTTTCAAGCTGTAACTATTCCAACCGGAAAGTGGAGCCACGAGGAGAAAAATGATCAAACATGGAAGCTTAATGAGTTGTCGACTCCACAAAAATGACCTGAAAACTTCCCAACTAGAAGTCTAAGTTGACAATTAATACACATAAATGCTGATTTCTTCTGGTATCGCTATACCGTCTTTTCCGTCGTTTTTGTGTACATGTTCATCATATTTTTTTTATGATTTTATTTCTCGGAGTGGTCGCAGTAAATGTAACGACCGTTCCGGTAAGTAGTGCAGAAGTCGATGAATTTAGGGATGTTGCTAGAGGTTCTGAAAGCATTGAATCGCCATTAAAGCAGAATAAAAGAATTTGGGGATAAAGACGGTATAAAGGAAACTCTGCGGTCTGCGGCTGTTGAAAAGTATTATCGGAAATTCAACTATTTATTAATTAACTTAATATATTTTTTTCAATATTTATTATATTTTTATTATAACTTATTTTTCAATAATTATATATCTTTGCTATAAATTTTTACTTATGATTAAACTATTATTATTTATTAGTCAACTGTGGGGTAATTTATTTGCTGGTTCGTTCAAAGACCCTTTACAGCCTTGCATCGGAACATTTCTGCACTCCTGTGCTTTATTTGATGGAGAAATATTTTCAATGTAAGGCTATAATGGGTATTTGAATGGGCTTTGCACGACTGAATCGGGTTTTGATTCATCCTAAGAGACTAGATTATTAATTTAATTAAAATTAATTATTATTATTATTATTTTTATATTATAAAAGTTGAAAATAGTATATAAAACAAAAATAATTATTAATTATTTAAAATATTTAAATATAAAAAAATTGTCTACTATTATATATTTATATTATAAATAAATTTCTTAAACTACCCTTATGGTTTAGCTAATTGATTAAGTGTACTCTTACTGTTTGAAAATTGACTAACGCTACCCCTATGTTTATGACAATTGACTAAGTCTACCCTTACTGTTAACTTTCTGTTACATATAATATCATGTGACTAATATATTGATAAAAATTCCAAAAACACCCATCCCACCTCCATTCCTAAAATACCCTCTCTAGCCGTTGTCAAGGTTCAAAGTATCGGAAAGGAAAATTTAAGAGACGTATCGGGATACACCTTGGATACGCATGGATACGGACGAAAAATTAAGATATGCATGGAAACACATGGAAAATGGTATAAATACTCTAATAAATCATAAATAAACATCAATATTACCAAATATAAGACATAAATGAGCTATTTATGCATAAAAATAGCATGTTTTAGTGGGTTTTATGAAAAAAAAGAACATATTATAATCAATAAACGGGAAGTCGGGAACATAAACATACTATCTAATCATGGACATAAGTAATTATTTTGCATGTGTTTATTCTAATTTTCTAAAAACTAAATAATTATTTATTTTTATTCAAATAATTATTTTGCATGTTTTATTCTAAAAATTAAATTAAAATTAAGAAAAGTAAATATGTAACAAAARAWKRAATGGATTTATGGACATAATAGATGAAATAATTATTTTGCATATTTTATTCTAAAAGTAAACTAAAATTAAAAAATAAATAAATATCAATGATTCAATGTTTTAAAACACAGAGGTGTTCCACTACCTAGAGGCGTGAAGCATAATTCAAAACGCAAGAGGCGTAAGCTTCCTTAAGAGGAGGAAGGAGGAAGGAGGAAGGGGGAATTCATTTTTTTCTTTATCTTTAATAAAAATATTTTATATTAAAAAAATAAAAATGCATAACATTTGTTAAAAGGGGGGTCTTGTCAAAGCAAAGGCAAATACATATCGGTTGATACGAGCTGATACGTGACAAAATTTTGAACCTTGGCTGTTGTTGGAGTACTGAACTTAGGTTTCTACACATCTTTGCAGCTGAAAAAAACAACAGAGAAGCTTTTAATTTAATTGAAATTTCAAAGCATAGATGCAATTTGTGGCATAAAGAACTGAAAGAATGAGGTGGGTTTGTACAGAAATCAAATGTGAAGCTTTTGGAGAAAAAAACTGAGAAAATTAAGCTGAAGGGTTCTTCAAGAAATCCAATTACATAATCTCGATTCATTTCACTATTGTTTATTTTCAAAGATTTTCCCACATGGGCGAGTTCTTGTTTGTCGATGTGAGTGAGTTCTTGTTGACAAAGCCGAGACTTTTAGAAGAGGTGGTGCCATTGATTCCGTCGGTGGATGCAAAGATGAAGACGATGTCGTGGCTGGAGAGTTGGCTGTTGTTTGGAGCAATGGAGAAGATGAAGGATCGCAGACATGTTGGGGGAAGGCATCAACTTTCCGCGCCAAATCCACCTATGCAACTTGCAGCGGCAATGGCAGAATAGGGATAGTGAAAGAGGAGGGGAGAGAGAAATAGCGAGAGATAGGGAGACGAGAGGTGGCGAGAGAGAGTACCAAATCCGCCGCTGCAAGTAGTGGAATAGAGATAGTGAAAGAGGAGGGGAGAGAGAAATAACGAGGAGAGAGAGAGAGAGAGAGAGAGAGAGAGAATTAAAGATAGGGAGACGAGAGGTGGCGAGAGAGTACCAAATCTGGTGCTGCAAGTTGCAGCGGCGGTGGCGGAACAAAGATAGTGAAAGAGGAGGGGACAGAGAAAAAGAGACAAGGAGAGAGAAATAGAGAGAAGAGAGAGAGAGAGAGAATGAAAGATAGGGAGATGAGAGGTGATGAGAGAGAAGTACCAAATCCGCCGCTGCAACGTTGCAGTGGCGGTGGTGAAACAGAGGAAGTGAAAGCGAAGGAGAGAGAGAGAGAGAGAGAGAGAATGAGCGAGAAGAGAGAGAGGGAGAATGAGAGATAAGGAGACGAGAGGTGGCAAGAGAGAGAAGTACCAAATTTGTCGCTGCAAGTTGCAACGGTGGTGGTGAAACAAGGAAGTGAAACAAAGTGAGAGAAGCTCGACATGGCCTTCTACATTAGCTCGTTCATCTCTGGCTTGTTTCCATAGTATGAGGACACCGGCTCACTATTCGCCTTCACGAACGACTCCTCCTTCGGATCCACCATCGTCCCATGCTGCAAAACATACACGACGTAGGATAGATATTCATCAGTCACCAAGGTTTTTCCAATCTTCATCAGGGAATACTTGTGCTCTGAGGAGCCATCAACAATTTGCTGGAGGTTTTCAGGGTCACCTGCAGTTCCAACAATTCTGGCGAAGAGAATGAGAGGAAGATGGAGAGATCCGAATAGGAGGGTAAAATAGTCTTTTTTATATATCCATTGATAGACATTAATGATTAAGAAGGATTAGTCAATTGTCAGAAACAATAGGGGTAGTGTTAGTCAATTTTCAAACAGTAAGGGTACACTTAGTCAATTAACTATACAATAAGGGTAGTTTAAAAAATTTACCCTTATATTATTTCACTTTCGTTTAACAAAACCCGTGCATCAAACTAGTCCCGCTAGTTGAAGTCTAAAGTCTAGTAAAGGCATCATTGTAGTATATGGCAATTAATTGAGAGGCAAGTGCAATTCTTTCATTTCCTTGGGGTTAACTCCCTTAATGGTCTGTTTGGTTGTCGAGAAACAATGATAACTCCCGTAATGGTCTATTTGATTTCCGCTGTTTGGTTGGTGAGCAAATTTTGAGGATTTTTTATTTTAGCCAATTTCTGATATATAAACTTTTATAGTCATATCAAGATAGTGGTACTCATTAATCTACAAGAGCTAAAATTCAAGATGATAATCCAACAAAAATCCTAAAAAATATGAAAACTCGAAAAAAAAAATAAAGAAAAAACTTGAATTTCCTATCTAATTGTACTCAAATAGGAAAAAGAAACAGAAATTCCACTAGAGAAACTGCAAGTAGTATATAGATCTTTTTTCTTCTGCTAAATCTCTATCTATAGAAACTCAGAAAATTCATCAGTGAAGAAAAACCTAACAAAATTAATTAAAAAAGAAGATTGTGGGAAATTGTAACCAACAATTTAAAATTCAGTATTTGTACTCAAAGTAGAAATTCAGCTCCAATAAACAATAAACAATATACAATAAATAGGAAGGGGACAAAAAGGAAGCAAATTCTCACCTGTAGGATGAACAAGAGCAGCAATAGCAGTTAAAGCGACAACAAAAGGAAGCATTGCTAACAGAGTCTGAGAAGAATCGTTCTTTGCATGCTCTCTAGGGTTTGTCCTGAGCGACAACATAGAAGCATGCCCTTCTCTTCTCTGCACTCCCACTCTTCCTACATACGGCGACAACATAAAGTTCTTGATAAAGAAATGCAAAAAAAAAAACAAAAAAAAACAAAAAAAACAAAACAAAAACACAAACAAAAACGAATGGTGCAAACAAAACACCTCTACAAGGTTACATTTTCCGGAGAAGAAGAAGACGATAACCTGTCTCCTTGCCATATAGGGATCTGAATTCAACTTGAGGGAGGAAGGGAATGAGATTTTTAGTTGAATAAAATACCAAATAACATTTAAACGGCATGAAACGGGATGGAAGTGCTTAACAAAGGATGTAAACTTTTCCGAAGATGAAGGATACAGATGGACAAAGTTAGGACCGTTGCAGTGGTGGGAGATGAAAACAGTGTGCCTTCGACAACTTTTTCTCACTATCATTTTGCCACTTTCGTTTCTCAATGGGGTCGCACCTATTTGGAGAGAGCCCATGTCCCATATTTTGAGAAGGATATCCTTGTAGCATCCTAGTATGTCGCCTAAAACGAACAACAATTGAAATTTCCCCTATTTTTTGCTAATGGCAGTTGATTCCCTCAAGTTTCTTATACCAT